CTATTGATTTGTGTTTTGTGGTTGAGATACGATCTCACGGTTACCACAAACTAGTCAGTTATCCCTTGAATGAGTCCCTATATATATATATATATATATATATATATATACACACACATATATATACATATATATATATATATGTATAGTTGGTTTCTCATAAGAAATATCATTTTTCTTAAACTGTGTCAGAAATATAACCTTCATATAAGAGAATGTAATATTCACATAATATATGTGAATGTATCATTATATTGTGTGAATGCCTATTCCAGGGACCCTTTCATAGAAACTACTGAAGGTATAACTTTCCCCATCTTCTCAAAATATAACATATAGTAACTGTCACATGATATAAATGTATCTTCATAATTTCTCACGCTTCCTAACGGAAAAAAATCACATGTTATGCACATGATATAGAGTTAGGTTTAGAGGAAAACTACAAAAAAATGTAAAGTTGAGTAACATCTAATAATCATTAATTTGTCAATTATGCACATCCATATAAGTAATTTGTACAATATTCCCATGTGCATAAATTGCACATATGCATAGAAACCAGGAAACATTTTTAATTACTTTTATGCATATGTGCATACCTGACAAACGAATGGTTATTATGGTGTTCCTAAGTTTTCCATTTTTTGTGGTTTTCCGTTGAACATGAGTATATATAGAGACGTAATCAAATGAAAACTCTATATATTGTGAGAACTTTTACCTTAAGATATTGTTTTACATGATTTTTTTTATCATCTAAGACTAGCATTTAAAATATTGATGAACACTTATTTGTTTCATAATGTGGTTGTTTCATTATTTATTCAGTTCACAATGTGTAACCTTTTTTACGTAACTTTTGTTTAACAAACAGGCTAAAGGGGTTTCATATTATAAAACAAACACCTGTGAAACAAATACATTTTGGAATATATATATATATATATATATATATATATGTTAATCAATATTCAAAATCCTAAAGTTAAATGAAAAAGTTATAATGTTAAATAGCACATTATGCACCGGTTCTCAAGGTTATCACAAAAAAAATGAAAAACTAGAAAATACTTCATCAAACGTTAGATTAATTGGTTTAATAGATGTGATTTTGACGTTTACAACAATATTCTTAAATTAGAAACCTCAACCCCCGTCCTCTTATATCTTATTCAAAAAAAGACAAAAAAATGAAACAAAATTGAGTGAAATAAATTGTACAATTTTTTTTTTGTTAATTTGACATCTATATTAACATACTTTTTCGACTTTTTTTATGATTTTTCGATTTTTCATTTATTTAACGTTTTTCCCAGATACATACAAACATATATACATATACATACATACACACACACACACATATATATATATATATATATATATATATGGGAAAATTCAAATGAGAAACCCAAAAATGTTGAGAATGTGAAAAGAGATCTCAACTATTCAAAGAAATTTTTTAATGGCCAAGATTTTAAGGGAAACATATATGAAAAGGCAAGCAAAATTATGAAAAGATACCTTTATTGATCATATAATTATAAAAGAAATATATAAGTGATATAGTATGAAAAGCTGAAAAAAAACTTGTTAAAATGTCTCAATCAACAGTTAATATGCAATATTTTTTCAAAGAATTTTATGCTGATCATAATAGAGAAAAAAGAGAGTATTATTATGAAACAATTAATGATTCAAATAAAAAACTTTTGCATCAACTAGCATGGAGAAAAAAAAAATTATATATATATATATGGGCTCATTCAAGAGAGAACTGATTAGTTTGTGATAACTGTGAGATTAATCTCAACCACAAATCAACGGATAAATTAGGAAATTAATAATTATGGTAGTTTGAATTAAAATTATAATTAAAGGGCATTTTAGGTATTTTAAAAAACTCATCTCTCCTCTCTTCTCTTTCCTCTCTCATTTCTCCGACCTCCAATCTCCGGCCTCCGATGAACAAAAATCTGGCAGGTACCAAGTAATCACAAAGATATACAATGTGATACTCATTGTGATATATTGTGATACCCATTGTGATATAATGTGATACCATTTGGGTACCACTGTATATCACAATGAGTATCACATTGTGTATCTTTGTGATTACTTGGTACTTGCTGGATTTTTGTTCACCGGAGGCCGAAGATTGGAGGTCAGAGAGATGAGAGATAAGAGAGGAGAGAGAAGTTTTTTAAAATTACCTAAAATGTCCTCTAATTATAATTTTAACTCAAACTACCATAATTATTAATTTATTAATTTATCCGTTGATTTGTGGTTAAGATTGAATCTCACAGTTACCACAAACTAATCAGTTCTCATTTGATTAAGCCCATACAAAATTACACTACTAGAAAACTGGGCATTTCCGGCGGATTTTCCGGCGGACAAATTCCGCCGGAATTTTTCCGGCGGATTACCGGCGGATTTCCGGCGGTATTTTAAAAAGTCAACTTTTGTTGACTTCCGCCGGA